GAGAGCTAAAAAAAACCACCTTTTTACAAAAGAGATTAGGATGTGATAATACGTTGCGCAGGTATATGGGGTGAGCCGTGAACAACTATATTTACAATACCACCTACGATACCGTTTTCATTTTACAAAAGATGAGACAAAACACGCTTGCACAAAGCAAATCAATTTTCGTCTCACCTTCGTTCGAAGGTCGTTAAGACAGTAGAATGAATGTGGCGTCTAAACCCTGATCACAAGAGGATGAAATGGCGCCTTACTTTTTTAATAATTACCGGAAGCCATCCAACACATTTCGGTGTAAGCGTTTTAGATGAGGTTACAGGGCCATAGAAAACACTACTTCATAAATGTGGAAATAACCAAATTTTCACTGAGGATGTATTCCACGTCGAAAATTTACCAGCTAGAGAGTCAAAGAAGTAAAAAAACCCCTTTTTAACTTTTTGGATTCAACTCCAGCAAAGCCATAAAACTCAAAGAAGATTAACATATTATCTTTGTAACAACCAACACTAAGTTAGAAAGCTTACAAAAATATACTTTGAAGTTTTACTCATGTTCCTTTTCCGATAAAGTGTTAGTATAAAAGCATGGAATCTTTCAGTTGATGAGGCTGTCATGGCGAAAATTCGTTCACGCGCGCGTCAGGCAACGTCAGACTTTCTCGACAGTTGTGACGCGATGCGCCAGAAGGCCAAGATTAGAGACGAGGACGCCCTTCGCAAATTCGACGCAGCTATAGTGAGTGCCATGCAATTCCATTTAGCCTATAAACCCTTGCAATACTCCCCTTCCTCTTGAGCATCCTCGCCTCCAGCCTCCTGAATCCCTCATCTTTTTCCTTCCCGCGAAATAAAGGAGCTCCCATTAAGTGCCCCTCGGCGGGGTTCGAGCAGGTCGTTGCGGCGGGACTCCCTTGGTCTGCCCCCTCTTATGCCGCGTGCCACTCGTGGGGGCAGTTTGGCATCCGATATGGTTAACACTGTAAGCCCTTCGTCGCAGTTTTCACAGTTGCTGGAACCACCCCTGTTTGCATGACTCAAATTATGGTGTTAAATTCTGCTGTTACCTTTCATTGTGTTACTGCAAGGCATGGGCTGAATAACACGTTCTGTGGTTGATGCAAAGGCACCGCCCCAAAACTTTTTGTGATCGACACAAACCCTGCTCTACTTACGAGAGTCGGAGTAGCTCAATTCTGATCCCCAGAATGCAACCGTTCAACTAAGAATCTAGCGCTGCTATGCTTAAAACATTCCGATTTAGAATCTGTGGCTATCGAACAATTATGACCAAATTTCATTTCTCGAACAGTGATCCAACTAAAAACTAAATATTATGGTTTTACCCAATTGTAGCAACATATTTTGATAATCATAGAGGCTACTGCTGCAATGCAATCAGGATGATCCTTTTTTGGAAATGGTGGAAAAATTTTCATTGCTTAAGGGAGGTGACCAAACAACACAGTTGAATATAAATGAAGCAAACTGCCTCGATCACTACAAATTCATACTCCTTCATTTCACTGGCGCCTCGAGTTTCCTGCACACTTAAAGTAGTCACAGTCCATTAATCACAGGTTAGCTGTGCCCCACAGGCACTGTTTCAAATACAAGCAACTAATATTCGTGAGCTATTGTGCACAGACGGTTGAAATCTGTATGTCTGTGCATATCCCGATGCTCAACTAAAGAGTCACCCGAAATAATATATGGATTCACATGTTCTAGGTCATACTCAGCACAGACATTATGTAACAGAATTCCATTTCTGAATATCCCTCTATAAAAGAAAGGGATTTGGAAATGGCGCATTCACATTGGGCTCAGGAATGCAATAAATTTGATTAAAATACAGTTCAGCTAGGCACTTTGCTACTTGTTCCCTCATCCGCCGTTTCTGCCTCCGCCTTCCCCCTTCATCCCCACGATTGGTAGAACAATTCCTCACCGGTTCGTCGTGCCTCCCTTGGATCCAATTCCCTCACTACCAAGGCAAGCAGTAGCGGCCCTGACAGCGAGACGAATTTGAGTGTAAGCTGCAACTACTCACCATACACTAACAAAGCCAGCACACCTACCGCACCGTGTTTCTGCCCGTCCCGCGAATGCGGGAGACTCCGCCTTGCCTGCGCATTTACCTGCTTATTCATTGGCGCCCGGACTAGATTAATACAGAGGACTAACTTTACAGATTACTGAGTTATTCAGCGAAACACGATTAAAATAATGAGTTGTAGCTTTTCAAATCCACTAATCACAATTCCATTGCTGCCAGATAGGAGGTCTGATGTTACCTCTAAAAATATTTCACAATTATACTATTTTTCGCCTACCTGAATGTGAAAAGTTGTTCGGTATGTAGTGACATTAGAAGTTTGACTATTCGTGTAAATTATCTAAACATCACTTAGATTAGAACTATTTCAAACAGGAGTAAAGCAAATATATACTCCACCTTGCGACATTTTTTGGGCTGAATTGCTGGGTTTACGATGGCAACACACCTCTTCGCGAAACAGTGGGTTGAATCAATTTCTTCGGTCTATATGACAATTCTTTTTCGCCTTCTTCGTGCTTCATTGCTCGGTTGATTCCCCATTCAATGCAAACTCCTTTATTCACACTCGTCCATTAGGTGCTTCGATTCAGTGGGCATTTTCTAGCCTTGCTAAAGCGAGTTACGCTTCCCGGACAAATGATTGCACTATCTTCCCATTACTTTTGCCACACACCACATAACGATGAGCGTTGATTGAAAAGTTTACTTGTCGTTTTGAGGCATGAGGAATGTGGGCAGAGCATTCGCAACCCTATTTTCGCACGTCACTGAACAGCTAACTTCTTCCGCTTGACAGTTTCATTGGCAAAATTGTATGCCACAGATAGATTTTATGAGTGGGCGTCGTTACTCCATAGAAGACGATGCCTCCGATGGTGCCTAGACAGTCGAGTTTACGAGTACTCCACCGATCCCCACACCTTCCGCCTCCACCTCCACCCCCGGGGACCTCAACAGCGTCCTCTGTGATGAATGAAATCAATGCTTTGGAGGCATTTGCAAGGGATACTCGGGTGAGGCTTATTTCATTTCGACGCAAGGGTCATTACACTAAATGCGAATGTAAAATCTGCGAATCCCACAGTTTATTGAGGCAAAGAGAGAAGGATTGTGTTCGTGTGTGGTAACTGTTTGCACAAATTAGTCAAAAAGGATTTGGAACCAATATGTTTAATAATATGCAGATACGGTGCGACTTCATTTACCTATTTAACCACTAATACTCCATGTCATGCCGAAGATCAGTGAAATCTCAAGTATCTTCGGTGACAGCCCCGTTTGTTTGGTATGAAATGCCTTCGATAAGTGTAAAGGAGTATCAGAACTTCGCAAAACTGAAGTAGAGGTAGCACTGAAACCACCAACTTGCTCATCTTCTTGCCCATGCCAGTTTTTACCATTTTTGCTCTTAAAAAGTAGGATTCAAAAGCTGTTTCTAACCCAGCTTGCTCACATCATATGTGACTGAATTATTTTAAGTAAGGCTGCTTTATAGCAGCAATTATATTCAGAAGAAGAGGAATAGATTGATTCCATTTAATTCACCATCTGCATTTTCTGCACAACTCCCACCTTTCGCTTGCTTGAGCAGCCATTACACGAGAAGCTCCCCAGAGGGCCAGTGATTCGTTCTAGATTTGTGAGATCGGTTACTCCGGAGTCCCGATTTCTCGTGTCCCCCAGGGTAAGTAAACCCAGTTTCTGGATCTCGTTCCGCCTTAAGCCCGAGCACTTCACTTCTGCCTATTTTTTGCCTTTTTCTTCTTGTATTTTTCTCTGCCATTTCCTTGGCACCCACCAGGAAAGCCCTTTGCATGTTCAGCTGCTGTTTGTTCACAATTCAACTGAAAATTTGCGCATCTTCGCCTGAAAGTGCGTTAAACTAACGACTTATTCCCTAAACTTACCGGTCGATATAATGTATAATTAGTTATGAAAATATCTGAATTTACCATTTTAGATGAAAAGAGACTAAGACGTGACAATAAATGATAATTGAGGCAAAGATATCCATTCTAATATCAACTGAAAAGCAAAATAACAGAGAAACTCATTTTTCAGAATTGAGGCCTTTCAAGGTGAAGTAAACTAACGTTATTGCGGCTTTCATCAAAAGGTGAAAAACAACCCTAAACTTCAAGTTATGCCGTTTGATGTATGCAAATGCACCTATCAAACTTCCATTCGTCTGACAAATAAATCACAATGTACCTCAAAGACTATCTGCCCATTGTGTAAGAGGTTAGCGCTTTTATGCTTCAACTTACAATCTTCCCTGAGGCCCTTTTGAGTTGAATGGGCTTCCACTGCAAGTGTTATGCCACTTTGCACTTTACTAATTCCAATCAAGGCCGAATTCGACACTGCTTTTTTCTTTGGGAAATGCGGTGCTCAAAGCACTGCCGCAAGAGGATGGCATTAATGGACCCTGTGTTTGCTCGGCCTCCACTGTCAGCAGAATGCAGTTTCTCAGGTTTTAAAAATCGTCTACCCCATTATTAAAAGCCTATCTCGTCCTTTTATCTACAGATTTCACCAGTTAGAGGTGCTTCTTTAGCCCCGAGATCGACCGTAGGACCGGTAAGTGCCGGAGAAATTTGCAAATTAAGCAAAAAGTACAAACACATTTACATAACAACTAATCAGTTAATAATGCTTAAAATTATTGAATCGGCTTTGAAGCACTATCGATGAAATTGAATTTCCGACATGATGCCTATGGGAGTGTGACTAAAAAATGGAAGTTTAATTTCAAATAAGAATGAATGATTTATTTCACTGCTTTGCGGCACAAAACTAATTTGTTAATCCAAATCTTCATTACTGCAATAAAAGCAGCCTAATCAGTGCGACCAAATTTGGAAAATATTTTGGTTTGCATGCACAGATTTTTTGGACGGAACACCTCGAAGGCGACTTTTACAGACAGCTGAAACACTCATAATAAATTCTAACGTGACATAATGTACAGAAGAGTGAATGGGCTACTAAAGGTGGTCGGTGAACTGTTGTGACAATAAACTTACCTGTACTATGGTACATTCTTGAAAAATAAAATCAGTGCCTCGAAATTAGGGGGAGTCAAATTTCCAGAAATATTACGATTAGTCTTACGCTCAGCAGCACCAATATTAGAGCGCTAACAATCACTTTTTTTACACAGGCGCAATCTCTAGGACGTGGGTCCACGACTCCACGAGGAAGTGTTGAGCCTGTAAGGGGATATCTTCCAGGGGTTACATTAAACCTACGATGAAGCGACTAATATCATTTTGAATAAAAATGCTTTCTAGAAGCGATCAGCACCCTACTTTTCGACAGCCCTCACTGAACCGGACATTCGCGAGCGTATCAGCACCCGCCGTAAGATGCGCGATGTAGAGGTAGGGGTAGTCCACTCCACCTAAATACCATAAGCCTGGCACGTTTAAAGTACGTGACACTTTTTAGTCTCGATTGGATAAAATCCTGGACTATGAGCTGCCCTATGCATCCGGGTTTAAGGAAATGCGCAACACTTTGCGTGAAATCAACGATAAAATGGCAAAGCATCGTTTGCTTATTGACCGCTACTCGGGACTACAAATAAATGAGGACAACGAACCGGTGGCGGATCGTGTTGCAGCAAAAGTGGATGAACTAATACCCAGGTGACATAGTGGATTAATCCACACCCTATTTGCTTATTCTGGAGGTATGTAAAAATCTGTCATTGTATCATAACGGGTTGCTACTAATGATCGAGCAACTGAGCCTTGGAAGATGTGCAACCCCAGTTTGTAGACTATGCATATGTTTAGATATTATGGAATACCTACAACTTATGCGTTCTTTTAGAGTGCCTGCTTTATCCGGAGTGCAAAATCCTTTCAAACTGCGAAGTGATGAAATCACAAGTTCATTTGACCCTCGACTTATTCCGGTAAGTTACGCTGATAGCGCTACACAGACTACTGACTGCATATGCAATCACAATAAATGCTAGGAGTCATCAGTAATCCTTATTGAAATCACAGAAAATAGCGGCCTAAATTAAACAGGACTCCTGAAAACGTTACTTAAAATTTTGCTTCTACGAGAATCAGTGTAAGTTATTTTCAGCTGTACGCAAGTGTACGGAGAAAGCCAATGCCATACTGTTCCTTGGATTAATGCAGAATGCATTTGACAAAAAGAGCATTCAGTTCCGTACGACAACAATAAAAGTGTTAATAGTGGACCTTTTAATTAATTTGAACTGTTACCTGACTGTCTTACGAAAATGAAAAATCTAAGGCTCTTTTGACTGTGTGCCAGATTTTGGCCTAAAACAGTGGCATTGATATTAAAACAGCCACTGTAAGATAAACGGAGACGATGACACCTGAAGGCAACCTATTTGGTAGTGGACCGTGAAGTAAACCTAGTGTTTGACCTCGTGAAAGCGTGAAGGTCAATTTGTGTCGTCTGTGCGTGCTGTAGGGCTACTCAACAGGTCTCTGCGTTACGCCGAGTGAAGGGACCCGAGAACTGCGCGGACGCATTCGAAATCTTCTGTGCAGGACCCGAGATACTAGCCGTCAGGATGCTGCCAACCCGTATCTCAGACCCTTCTCAACCAATCACAGAAATGCCGGAGTAGTCGCTGAATAGACCCCATCCATGGCCCCCTTTTCACTTGGCTGCACGCTGAGGCTTCGCTAGTGTTTCGTTTTTCCTTTGTCCCTATAGCTGTTTCACCTGACTTTGTTCTTAACCAGCCCCATCGCCATGAGTCCCTGTTTTCTTCGGCATGAAAATGTGGTTGGAAAGTAGCGCACTCGAATTTTGCACATTGCAGAGGAAGATCCCATTGAGATTGATCAGCTGCAACTTTCATCGCTATCTACATGCGCTTGTATTTTGGTTTCAATTGATTAACATGCCAATAAAATGCTGAGAGAAGTATAGGCTGATGCTTTTGACACGAGCTTAACTCGGTGCCATGATGGACTGATTAAATGACCCATCCTTCAACTCAAGGCACTGATTGCACCAATACAAGAGGTAATAAGCCTTTCCAGAAATTAACCAACAAAGAAGTTAGTGCACCCCGAGTTTCCAACTTTCGGCTACATAACACTACAAAAATAGGATCACACTGACAGCTTATAGCCCCCAAAATGATTGAGTAAAAATAGCATGAAGTAGTAAGGCTTATAGTAATGGGCCCATTGGATGGCTCAATTCTAACTGAAAAGTATCGTAGGTGCAGCTGAACTGCTTTTCCTGTGAATGTTTTTGAAAACAACAGAGTCAACGGATTCGTTTATCAAATTCTCAAACAATCTCATCTTTGAATAACATCACATTGACTTTCTTTGGAATCAAATCAGGCAAAAAAAATTGTTTCAAGGGAGGATGCATGACCATTCAATGAATTGTCAACACCTAGAACATATCGGGATCGCGCCAGTTGGAGTTTTTCATGTGATGTGCAATACTTTTTGCCATGAAAGTGCCGTGAACATCTTGAAAACTGATTGCGATAGAATATGAGTTT